TCCCTTTCTTCCTTTTCTTTTCTTTTGCTTTCAGCATTCTGTTTTGTTGCCATGTAGCTGGAGTCAGGGTAAATGATCTGGCGGTGGTGACTCTGGTGAACAGGGTGAATTTGTCTTTTTCACAAACATACTGCCTGTACTTGCACAGCACGGCCTCAGAGGCACCCATCACATCTGTGATTCATAGTTGGAAACCGCACAGCAGTTCAGTTACCGGAACAGAAGAAACTAGCAACTATTAAATTTCAGCCCTGACACTGGGAGTGACCTAGAAGCAATTGCCAAGGGCAGGGGCTAGTCCTCAGACCTTCTGTTACACCTACTCTCTAATATCACACCTCACAAAGAATGAAAAACATAAATGTTTATTTTTAAAATAACTGAGGGAAGGGGGAGGGTATGGCTAAACGGTAGAGTGTATGCTTGGCATGCACAAGGTCCTGGGTTCAATCCCCACTACCTCCATTAAAAAATAATAATAAAAATAAGTAAATAAATCTAATTACCCCCCCAAAAAAAGAACACAAAAAATTTTTTTTAAATAAAAAAGCTAAAATAACTGAGGGGAACAAAATGAACACTATATCATGTGTAGAGTTCCACTTAAGACTGATTTAGTTAGTATAAACTAATTTAGACTTACAATGTAACTAACTCTAGGCAAAGAATTTATTTACAAAGGTAACCTAATTGTAAAAGACGGCAAAATAATAAACAATTATTTTCTCTAATCCACTAAATTGGGTAATCCTTAATGAAAGATGCAATTTCTGTGAGAAGCTGTAAACTGTGGTTACTTTGTTGAGCATCCCTGGTTTGGTGCAGGGACTCTGGAAGTGTAGTGAGGCCGGGGTAGGGCAGGGCGGCATGGGGGTCTGTGTGGACCACCATTTCACCCAGGATAACGTGGGTAACACTAGAAAAACCTAAAGGACTTGCCTATTCAGTTTTGTAAGGAATGTCCACTAAAAATTCATTCAACTTCGCTTCTCTCCTTCATGGAGAATTTTGGGCATATGAGTCTCTGGGCTGTGAGGGACACAGTTAACCACCACCAGGCAAACAAACATAGCCAGGGAGCTCCTGTCTCACCGAGTCCTTATCTGGCTATGTGACTCTCTGGGAACTGCTTAACTTAACTCCTTTGGTCCCTTTACCTGAAACAGGAAGTGAAGATATTCACTCAATCCTCACGGACACAAAACACACTCCTCCCTCCCCTCCTGTCCAACAAGGCTTCCCTTATCCCACTGGGCTGGTGAACAGGGATCAAGTACCACTGGTCCCTCCAGGCGTCCTCCAAGGGCAGTCTGTGTAATTGTCTTCAGCCTCCC